CTTTTTTTTTTTTTTTTCTTCCCCCAAGCTGGAGCGAGGAAACGTGGTGCCTGGAGAGACAGAGGAAAAAAGTTCTAACGAATTTAAATTACGGCTCAAATAACCGCAAATGTGATTAATTCAATCCTCAAATCTCAGCCGAGGGATATACGATTGGGGTTACGTTGTACATTTGGAAAATGTATCGTGGTATTTTAGCCGGGGTAAATTTTGAATTTTGGACGAAAGAATTTGTAATGAAAGGTGTAGAAATTGTTTTCATTTGCGTTTCATCCAAAACTGGATTCCTTAACCTTTTCTCTTATCCATGGGTACTATTTAAACATTTTTAATTTTTTAAGTTAAAATTTAAGTAATATATACACTAAATATGTATATGAAACTCTTCAAATTTGGGAACTTGGAATTTTAAATTTAATTTTAATATTTTAATTTTAATCTTCCCTCCAGGGTGTATCTTTGTCACTTCTAAAAATTTCGATAATAACATCTAAACTGTTACACTTTGAATTTCACCAATAAATATGAAATATATTGATTCAACAAAAATTATTTACACAATTGTATAACAATTAATGAAAAATAATAAGTTTCAAGTGAATTTGCGAGAAAGAATTCCTTTTGTCAAATTCAGATTTTTAAAAGCAACACTTTATTTATTATCGGAATAACAAAAAAAGAATTTTATTCTTTCCTTTTCTACCATTTTTATTCCATCGACAATTGCATCCATTCACCATTTCCCCCCACCTCCTCGACAACCGCGTTCCCTTTTCAGTCTAGCCATCTTCCTTTGAAACGGTTACTTTTAAGCCTTGCTCTTTGTTCCGGCCAACTTTCTCGCTCGACAAACAACAACAACAACAACAACAACACACTCGTCGCTATTTAAAATCGTGAAAAGAATAATCGGTTCCGTGGGGAGGAAGTATATATCTCGCGGCAGTTTGCACGAGTTTCCACGGGCTGTCGTTCATCCCCCTCGTCGTGCTTACTCGTGCGTGCACGTGTTGGTTTATGTATCATCAAGGAGGGGCGGTGAAAACTGTCGAAAGATGCATCTTTCTGGAAGAGCTGTGTGACACGAGGCGGGCAAGGAAGAGGAGGAAAGAGAAAGTGGTTCCCTCGCTCTCTGCGGTTTTATGGGTCGTCCAGCTCCATCATGCGCCGTAAAAGTACAATAAAACCGGTGTCACACCGTGGAAAAACTACCCCGTTTCTAAAGCACTGCGTGCATCGGCCCTTAAGACAAAAGGAGCGAGAGGATCGATGGACTTGGATGAAGATACGAGCGGGCATCGAAGTAAAATTGATTCTTTTATGATAGAGAATTTTTTATCGAGCTGCGCTCTTCTCTCTTCTCACAGATCAGCGATTTTTCGAACTTTTTTTTTTTTTTGCGCCATTGTGGAAACTAATTATTCAAATGTTAAGTAATGTGTATATTTTTCGTACAGATTTTATTCAGGCGATTTATAAAATAACGATAGTAATAATATTTTTTCTAAGCATCAATTTTCTTATTTTTTTTTTTTTTAAGGAAGGTTTTATTGTATTTATAATTTATGGTAATTTGTAAATGAGAAATTTAATACTTTTGAAGTAATAGTTATTTTATGTTGTTTTCTTCTAATTTATATATAGAAAAAAACCTTAAGCACATCTGTGTAATTTTTCCATATCACTTAGATCACGAGATTTTTTTTTTGAATTTGTCATTTCTTTTATTCTATTTTATTCATTTTTATTCCGTACGAATATTCAATCATCATATTCTCTTAACTTTTATCATACCAAACAGATTCTAATTGATAAATACACTGATATGAAATATATAAATATTATTATTTACATATAACTAACCATTCGTTAGAATTTCCAATGTCAATTCGAATTAATATTTTCTCCTATCTTTCGTTGTTCCAGTGCTATCTTTAAGAAATACTCAGGAAGAGGAACCACCGGATCCTCAATTAATGAGGTTGGATAACATGTTGATCG